TCTCCAAAGAGTGGCGAGCAAGCAAGAGGAGGTCGCTCTCCAAGCTGAGCACCAGGCTCTGCACGCGCTCCAGAAGCTGATGGAGAGCATTTCAGAAGGCATTTCTTTCGTTTCAATGTTGTTCGACGAGCGTGTTAGCGACATCTTCACAAGACTTGACGCCCAAGCGCAACAAGAACTGAAGGAGCTCACATACGAGAAGCTGTTTTCGCAGGCTCCTGGAAAGGAGCTGGCCAAGCTTCTTGTCAAGTCGATCGTCAACCGCAACATCGAGAGCGGTTCTAACGTGGAGACTGTGGCCGATGCCCTACGTAGGAGATGCGGCAGCTTCTGCAGCCCTGATGATGTTGTCATTTTCAAAGCCCAAGAGCAGTTGAAGAGGGCATCCGAGCAGCCTCTGAACAGCAACCCGTCACGCACACTGCTGCATGAGAGTTTGAGGCTTTTCGAGCGCGTCGCCAATGCCCTTTCCTTCGCCAATCTGCACAACGCTGTGGCTCAGTACATTGAGCTGAAGTACTACGCAGGCGCAATCCAGCTTTGCCTGGTCGTCGCCCGCGAGAAGGACAGAGGCAACAGCGCCCTTTCCTGGGTTCACGATGGCAAGCCTCCAAACGACCCTCGGGCTAATGCCTTCTCGGAACGTAGAAAGTGCTACGAGTTGATTCACGAGGCTCTGCAGCACTTGGACGCCGCCTCAAGCAGGGAGCCGGAGACGATCGATGGCAGGTTGACACTGATTGGCACCAAGCGCCTGGAGGCATACAGTGTGGTGAACGATTCGGATGATGAGGTCTTCCACTTTGACCTCTATGAGTGGTACATCGAACAGGGTTGGACCGACAGAATTCTGGCCATCGAGTCACCTCACGTTATCACATACCTCCAGAGCCTCGCCAGGTCTAACGTTGGACACGCCGAGCTTCTCTGCAAGTTCTACACTCAGCGTGAGAGATACTTTGAGGCAGCCCAGGTCCAGGCCGACCTCGCCAACTCTGACTTCGACCTTGGTATCAAGGAGCGCATTGTTCTTCTCAGCAAAGCCAAGGGCAACGCCAGTGTCGCCACTGCCGGCATCGGCAGGCAACAACAGCAGGTCCTGGCCCACGAGGTCAGCGAGCTCCTCGACATCGCCAACATCCAGGACGATTTGCTCGAGAGGCTCAAGGCCGACAGCCGTATTGCACCGGAGCGTAAGGCGGAGATTCAAGAGGCTCTCGACGGTCAGATATTGTCGCTGTCAGATGTAAGTCGCCTCCTGAAGTGCTCAATGACAAAGCTAATTCGCTTCAGCTCTTCAACCAATACGCCGACCAAGCAAATTACTACGACCTGTGTCTTTTGATCTACCACAGCGCCGACTACCGCAACCCTAGCACAATCTCCCAAACGTGGGTCAGCCTAATTGAGCAAATCCACCAAGAGGCCGTCGATCGCATGGAGGAGGCTGGCCCCGGCATTCCTGTCCTGCCGTCGCCGTACGAGTCTGTGTCAGTCAAGGTGCAGAACATCGCCCACCGCACATCACTCGACAGCTTCATCTTCCCTGTGCCAGTCCTCCTTCCCGAAGTCTGCCGCTACGCCGTCGAGTACCACCAGGATGCTGAGATTGGCGCCGACCCCACATGGCCCGTCCAGCTCTTCATCAGCCTGGGTGTCTCCCACGACATGGTCACACGCGTTCTCGAGAGCGTCTTCGACACACAGGACTACGGTTTCAGCGGCAACAACCGAAACCGCATTATCGAGCTCATTGTCTTCGCGGTCGATGTCTGGCAACGCGAGGTGAAGCGTCGCGGCGGCGCCTCTCTGAAGGGTGACGGTGCCATCGGTGCCTGGGTTAAGGATCTGCTGAGCAGATGCGAATCGTCCTTGCCGCCTGCGGGCCACGGCTCGAACCCTGGCGGTGCGGATTTGGCGGAGGTGCGCAGACGTCTGCGTGCTGTCAGGAGGGAAGTTGATGGTCTCGTGGAGAGGGGGCCGTCGGGAAGCTTGCGCTTCATGTAATGTCTGAACAACGTTCTAATGATCTGGGTGAATGCAATAAGGCAGGAGAGAAGGAGAGTCGAGGGAGAAAGAATACAAGGAAAGATAAATTAGGAGACTGAATACAGAAAGTGGGCTGCTCTCATCGAGAGACTCCCGCCAGTCGGGGCATGGAGGAGAAAGATAAATCATGTACAAAGAATTCGACCGAAAAAAACCGTGTGTATTTTTGCCCGGGGTGTGTTGGGGTTTGGGCCGCGCGCGGCTTGGGACTTGGCGATGTAGGCTTAGGTTTTTGAATGACTACATTTAGTTAGTTGGTGTTCTTTTTTTCTTAATGGATTGGGTTCCTGAGATGCGGTGTCTGGTGAGTGATTGTGGCGAGATGTCAGTCAACTGGCACTCGTTCTGATACTGGATCATCGTGTCACGTTTGTAATCTTTTCGCGCAAGTGTAAGTCGGAATGTGTTGTTCAGATGACCACAAGGTGTAAGTAGGACAATCTGGGTATTTCCCGATTGTACCTTGATGACCGAATGAATGTTCATGCACGATGACACCCTGCCAAGTCGCAAAGTATTCTCCTTCTGCCGACCAGCGGCTTGGCATGCAGTACCCAAATGCTTTCCCACTGGATCATGTAACATGGATCGGTTGACTTCTGCATCGTTGATTCGTGCTGATGTGAGACAAGGCATTTTCATTCCACAGCGGCTGAGGCTGGCTACGGCCGGAAGGTAGGGTAAGGTAAGGCAACCACCAACAATGACAGCGAAAAGTAGTGTGGGAGGGCCTAATCGATTCAGCTGACAGTTCTGTGCCAACCAACAGTTGCAACTTCAACCTTATCGCTGGGCATTGACGTTGAGGCTGGCCCGATCCAGTCTTGTGAGGGCATTTCTTCGTTGGCGTGAAGTTCATTTTGTACTTTCTTCCATCGGGTCTATCGGCGACAAAGACAAGCTGTAATGATACTCAACAGAATCGACGACGGACCGGAAACTCCTGCGCGGGGAACCTCTCAGGATGTTTCCAAAGCACCATCTGGCTATAAACTGCTGGCTCCGAAGCCACATCAACGTATTGCACCGAGCCTCAGCCTACGCCCCTTGCAGTCGCCCGACTCTTCTGGTCAAGCTGAGCCACGGCGCCCGCAGACGCGACAAGAGTGGGACACCATGAAAGACGTTATTAGGCACCTTTACCTGGTTGAGAACTTCACGCTTGAGGAGGTCGCGGACACCATGCTTAGGGAGCACTCCTTTGCGGCTACGTATGTGATTCTTTTGATGTCAGCACTTAATCACGCCTCTTCTCGCACATCCAGGTGCTTTTCAAGATTATCTGACGCTGACTTGGAATCCAGTAAAAGGATGTACAAGCGACAGTTCAAAAGATGGGATTGGAAAAAGTACAACACCCAATCGGTCCAGGAAAGTAAAGAAACTGGACGTTCTATTGAAATGTCACAAGGCCAGACAACATGTCGGCGACCGATGCGCAGTAAAAGAAACATCAACATAGAGTCTGCTTGGGCTATCAGAAGACGCAGTTCAGCAAGAGTACCGATAGCAAGTGCCACGCCGCCTACCAAGTTAATCTGCGCGAACGGAGATGATAAAAGAACTCTGCAGCTCTTCACTAGCCTTAGAGATCTTATTTATGGCACGTTCCGGCGCGATAACGCAGGCTGGTCGAGCGAGAACCTCAGATTCACCGGGCTTCCGACTACCGGAAGGCTCTTGGTGTCCAAGATGGACCAAGCCATCCGTCTGTTTGAAAGCAAGCATCACAAGCAAGGTGGCATAATGTTGCGGGAAACCTTTCGAAATTTGGAGGATGTTATGGGAAGAGATGCTATTGGGATATACCAGGTTGTCTTGATGTATATCCCATACTATCTTCCCGGCAGATATAGGGAAGTCACACGAGCTTGGCTGCACTACACTTCCCAAATGCTGAGCCTCAAGAAGAGATATGATCCGATCTCTCAATTGGCCAAGCTGCTGTATTTGATTCACTTGAACGATGCAGAGCACCTGGGCCCGGCTCTTGAGCGTCTGTTTAGCATCACTGCTGACACCTACAGTCAGCTCCGTGGGACGAAGGATCTTTCTACGCTTATGGCCATTATCGATCTGTTACTTGCGAGGGGAGACTCGAAAACATCGCAAGAGTCCGCCCTCGCCGTCGAGAAACTCGGAAGCCTTGTCGAAGAAGCTGCCGTCCAATGTGGAGAGACTTCAGAGACGACCATCGGCATTGAAGCGTGCCAGATCACGTACGCGGCACGATTGATGCTGTCTCCTGCAGACAAGAAGATTGCTGAGTTGTGCAAAACGCATGTGGGTAGAGTCAGTGCCGCAGAGAAAACGTCAGCATTTAGACACAGGGATTGTGGTGCAAGCTCGGGACAGGTTGGTGGAAGTCATGGGCATGACGGCTGCGTTCATTGCGGAGGTCTTGAAACAAAAGAAACATACTCCAAGGACCTTGGTAGAGCTCTCGAGGTGGCAAAGAAACAGGTCGGGTCCTCTGACATTGTCGTTTCGCCTGGTCAGGCTTTGCGGCAGATTCGCCTATTCTGGAGGGACGTATTGCAATCTATGGGACGGGCAGAAGAAGCGATTGAAGTATGGAGAGGTTCTTTCTCTCGGTACGCGGATGATGATGACCAACGTGACCCAGACTCCCCAGAATGAGACGAAAAAGACAGGGCTATGGTTATGTGGTCAAGACCCAGCCGTGGAAAAGAGACAGCCTGTATTTCTTATGCCTGAGTCACACTGTTTACTATGGGTTCATCCCTTATATACCGTATGTTATCATGGCCATCACTGTCGTCCTCGTCGTCTCTATCACTATTATCGCTGCTAGTGTCGCCATCTACAAAGTATATTTTTTTGACAAAATGTATTGTGCATTTAGTTCAATACAAGGACTTTTGGCAAGCCACCTAAATTCATGGCTAGTCATCCACGCTACTTAGTAATCCATACTGCCAGCCTGATGGTCAACGTTTGCCACTATTGTTTGTGTAACTGATCTTCTCAAACGAAGACTCATGAACGTAGTTTCCGTTTGCATCCTCTGTAGTCCGTGAGGATGCTTTGATCATTTCGAAGTCCCCGTCTTGGCCGTAGTTGATCTGTACCATGGCGGATCCGCCGCCCCCGCCTGTCGCCCCTCCTCCTCCACCACCACCCCCTCCGCCGGCTTTAACGACGAGATCTTTGCTGCTCCGATCTTTACGGCCCATATCTATGAGTTGTCAGGAACTTTAGGGGCCTTATTTGTAATGGAAAAATGCCTCACTGTACCTGCGGCTTTGACCCTTGGAGGAGTCTGAGATTTGAAAGCTTTTTGTGCAGAAAGAGTCGAGTCAAGGTGCGCTTCTTGTGTACGGGGGTTCTTTGTTGGCATTGTAAGGGTCGGCCGTGATAAATATCCTCTTAAGTATGTCATGTCATGATCAGGTCCTCCAGAGTTGGTTTGGCCGTCAGGCTAATTGACTGGACTTAGTGCTTCGGATCAAGAATTTCGACAGCGCAACTCGTTGACGTTGCGCACTGACGTATGTGGAAAATTATTAAATTGAAAAGTCAAGTCGTATGTGAACACGTTGCTGTCTGCCTGAGCTGATGCGGCAGTCATTCTTTGGATTGCAAACAATTGGCTTACGATGTTCACCATGTCAGCTCCAAAGCTTTTATCACAAAATACCGTCGAGTGATTCCACACGTAGGTTCATGGTCTGAAACGGGAAGAGTCATCAAATTACAGAACCAAAAGATCTTTCAGCCACACAGCCTGAGAATTCCGGTCGTCATAATCATGGTGTGTTCCACAAGAGACGAGGCTTTGCCAGTGTAGCTGCCGTGGCTGTTTCTGCTGACCACCTTACCGTTGCGGAACTGGAGAAATGAGTCACTTACAGAATTCCGCCTTTCATTTATGGAAATGTGTTTTTTTTTTCCACGTACAGCGGGGCATCCTTTTGGGCTCTTTGCAGGATCAAGGCTCAGTGAAGGAGAAACGATTTGAACGATCATCCGTACATCATCGCAGTGGCACAAGGCCATCACTAGGCATAATCCATCATTTCGGTGAAGCAAAGCCCAAGACAACTGGAAATGTGATTGGAAAAGAACACATCGGCTCATAAGGCTTGGGTCTATGCCCCTCGGCCACCTGTCCCCCCTCGACCATCTGCTCCTGGTTGACCACCTGCTCCGCCCCAGCCCCCTGCTCCCCCTCGACCATCTGCTCCCCTTTGACCATCTGCTCCTCCATGGCCGCCCTCACCTCTGTAGCCTTCGTACCTGGCCCATTCTCTGGTCCCATGTAGTCCACTTCTATCGTCGCCGGAAATCCTCGACCAGGCAAACCATCCACGGCCTCTATGTGGCCCTTCTCCTCCTCCCCCACCACCACCGCCGCCACCACCACCACCACCTCCTCCTCCTCCTCCTGGACCACCTCCAACACCTCCATAATAATCACCGACACCACCACCGCCGCCGCCGCCGCCGCCGCCGCCGCCCCTGTCACTACCACTGCCGCCGCTACCGCCTCCCCATCCACCCCATCCTTCCCAGCCGCCCCAGCCGCTCCATCCTCCGTCCCTGTGCAGACCACCACCTCTACCCCCAGTCAAGCCGCCTCCATCACCACCCCTGCCTGCAAATGACGTGGTTCCGGTACTGGAACCTCTTTCTCCGCTCGTTGCTCCGCCGTCGTACGAGTTGCCATCACCATGTCCGCCTCGTGAACTCCCGTAAGAGCTTCTGTAACCAGCTTGACCATTGGGCTCGCCTCCACTGTCTCTGTATTGACCTCCCTGGGTAGATAAAATGACCATCTGGAAAGCGTCAGATACAACATGTATAGGCGCTGTTTTTGATGTTACTAAGCTTGCCTTGAGTGCTTGAAGATGTTCTCGAAATTTAAGCGTCTTGATGACGATTTTGAATATGAAAGTGTGTGGAGCTTTTTAGGTCAGTCGACAATGAATGAATTGAAAATGGTTGTGGAAACAGATGCCAGGTTTAAATGGTGCTCATTATTGTCAGCAGAGACTAAAACGCTGACGGTGTTTCCTGATAGTTACACTGCCATCAAGGGGAAATGTGCATACAACGTTAGGCTTGTTTGCAACCTGGTCCCCTACGAAGTGCCCGTGACAGCTCGCGCTGGGAAGGCCTCTCACTGACGGTCATCTTTGAAACGTACTTGGTACAATCTAAGTACATCAGGGGAACCTCATGAAAAAACAGCCTCATTTTGTTATTCTTGGTCAGCACGGTCAGATGTCATTTGCATGTCCATCTTCTCAATGCCTACCCACATACAATGACGTATTCGGGCGTAAAGCCGGGAAGTTGTGCTCATCAGACCAGGAAACCAGCCTCGAGTGATTGGAACCTGTTCTGCATGGTACTATTGGGCTCGTCTTCATAGGTAGGCTTGAAGATTTAGGGCCCACCTCACCGCTCAAAGTGAGGTTGCCTTTAATTGCATATTTCCGTGAGGTAGTGTTGTTCTCTCACCATGACCGCAATCAGTTGACTTGGAGGGTGGGTAGTAGCCCCGTCATTTGCTCCAGCCTGTGAACACATTAAGATTGCCGTAGGACTCAAGGGGGCGACGAGAATTTGGGTTGAGATCCCGAAGCCGCGTTATAGCCGGGGTACTTATTAGCTAGATGCCGTCCTTTATGACACTGTTTTCTTCGAAAAGAATCTGAGATTTTGAACTTTATAGATTGGCCAAAGAGATATGGCTAAAAGGAGTAGTGTTCCCCACTGATTGTCCAAACATACCTTTACCGCAAGAACACGGACACAAATCACCAGGAAGTTCATTCAGAAAGACTACTTACACATCACTGAACTGAGGTAAATCCTGCTTGGTTAGAAAATAGAGCTAAAGATTGCTGACTTTCCTTTTTTACAGGATGGCGTTTTATATCGATAAAAGAATTCTTTGCCGAGGTAGTGGAGGAGGAGGAGGCGGCGGTGGTGGTGGTGGAGGAGGGGGAGGAGGGGGAGGCGGAGGTGGAGGGGCATATGGCGGCGGCGGCGGTGGAGGAGGGGGAGGATACGGTAGCGGAGGAGGAGGAGGCGGCGGCGGTGGAGGGGGAGGCTGATGATAAATAGTCTTTGGGCTGGAAGGAAATACCTGGGACGGCAGGGATCTACCGTGCAAGGAGCTTGTACCAAATAGTTTTGGGCCAACTAAGGAAGCACGTCTTGCGTAGAATGTTGCAAAATATGGAGTCGGTCGGTTTATCAGCAGCTGCCTTATTTCGAGCCTTAGCATTATTGAGATGATCTCTGATGAAAATCGATCTGATAGTTAACAATTGGGACTGGCATACTCCTTAGTTCAAAAGCTTCAGAACTTTGGAGTCTCATCAAGTTTGCTAGTTCCCAACCATTCTGCTCTGATTGTGTGCCCTCAACCATGAAGCCAATTTCGGGCCTCATCCCTGGGTATACTGCTCTTATCGTCAATGAGTTCAAACCATCAGGCTTGGGCTGTCGTTCTATTCAGAGGCGTTGGAGAATGGCAGGTGTAGTGAGCTCGCACTCGACCTTTTCCCAGGCGTACTGTGCCTTTCAGAGCAGAGGTCTCTCTTGACCTCGAAGTATGAGTGAATTCAGGCCTTGACAAAAATATGACTGCCCTGCCTATTACCCCTGGCTCGCTGGAAGGAACAAAAGCAGTATTTGCGGGGCTAACAGCTACTTCCCCAGGTTGTGGCCCTGGGCTCACATCACTGACCCTGTTGAAGGCCATGCCATCATAGTCACCGTATTCTCCCAGGAAAAATTTTCCGAACTTGTTTCTGCATCTGCAGTTTTCCCGTATGACAATTTTCCATCACATTTCTGTCGCTTTGGCTAGTAAGGCACAGAGCGCCGAGGAAATAAGTGAGATTGGCAATTTTGTCTATCCAGATATGGAAAGAGGTGGCAAGTAACAATCTAGGTGAATGCTTTTCTTAAGCTACTGCCTTGAAACCCCCGCAAATAAATACCGGTGGCATTCATTCGACTGCGGAGATGGAAGTTTCTCGCCATCGTGGCACGACTCATGTTCTTTTATGTCGTAAGATATGACCACTGAAGGCTGAGAACCAAATGCGGATTACTGGGAACCTTCAGCTTATCATCGTAATGCGAAGGCGCGGAAAACAACACGCCTAGGTACCTACGTAAGTTCGACCAATAACGCCTGGTAGTCTTTTTTATGTGGCGTAGCAGCTTATGAGTGAGCCTTGCCATTAAATTTGGCTTGTCAGGGCAGTGCAACGGAAACTTCGGTGGGAGTTGAAAATTCTGAAAAACACCGGGCGACATTTTATTCAAGCACGTGGCTCTTCTTCGAGGCATGGTTAGTCAGTTAGCCGTTATCGGCTTGGAAGAGCTTGAAGCACCCATCGACACCGAAACGTCAAGATGGAGCGCATCATTTCCTACTCTGGACTGCAATACTATGATGCCATTCACATCAGTTACCAAGTTCTCACATGCTTCCTCATTATTTTTAGTCAGCGCGATCCAATTCGGCTAGTGACGAAGCCCCTATCAATAGAAGTTTCGATTGGTATCCGTACCTCATCATTTCGTGGAGTGGATGTGAAAGCCTGGCAATAGTCCCATCCTGAAGTGGCCCGGCCAATGTAACGTGCTCCGCCGGCAATCCGTATTTTCGTCGCATTTCGCGGCACAGAACAGATGAACGGACAGCACCAGACCTTGATAAACGTAGCTGTCTGCGATACCTAGGAAATTCTTGGTGTTAGTCGAAATATACTCGATCCCGCCTTTCGTAGGTCGAATGAAGATAAGATGTCTAAAGTCCTCTTTGCTCATCAGATATCACTTGTTAAGACACTGCCCCCTTGTACGATGAAATATCAACCCCGCATCCTCCGGAATCCCTGCATACATCACTTTGATTCGTCCAATTGGCAGCGTTAATTGCACTTCACGCGTAGTAGCCAACCAAACCCTTGTCTCGAGGTCGGGGGCGATCGCAATTGACGGGGAGCCCATGTACATCAAGTGACGTTGCCTAACACTGAGTTGCCTGGTTGCCTCTGTGACCGCGCTGCCCTAACGTACGCGCGAATTAATCGTACGGCCACAACTCCCTCTACCTCATCGTCGCAGCTGCAACCAGCGGCCAATACATCAATCGCACCGTCACCTCCGGAGAAGAGACGTGACAGTCAATCTAGTGATACAAACCTTCGTGCTCGCTTCGCTTTGACGCGGTGTTGAAGGTAGCACGGCATCTCGCATGGATCCTTCCATCATGGCCATCAAGCCCAAAGTTGAACACCCATCACGTGATGGAGAAAAGGACAGCCCGGCAGGTCCGACCGTATATCACAACCATATCTCAATCTACGG